CAAATTAGTCTATCTGACTGGGGATATAAAGAAGCCAACCAAGGAAGACACATCACATGTGGCTGGAGGTAAAAGCCATGCAGCCCACCACCGTTCTTGAAGCAACAGCATTAGCTCGACTACATGAAGACAAACTGAATCGGGCAAGAAGGAGTAATCGACCTCTGGGAGCCTGCCTCCTGAATGAGAGAGAGAGAGATTGTATTCCCAAATCGATAATCCCCTCCTAACCTCCTTTCCTTATTTATATACTGCTGTTACAATTCTGTTATACCAGCCTCTCCACTTGTCTAGTTTGTTATTTAGTTTGTTCTAGTGGTTGGCTGTTAGTTACATTCTTTAAAGGCTGGCGTGGCCTTCTCTTGTACACTTGTATTCCCTTTATTTGTGTCTCAACACTTTGGAGCAATTTAGCTATATTCAAGTTCAATCAGATCGCACTCTCTTCTTTAAGAAAAAGAGACTCTTGACTCTGCTTGCTGTCTATGTAGATGATATTGTAGTGACAAGAAGTGATATTGGTGAGATTGACTCTCATAAGCAACTTTTTCACTAAGAGTTTGAAGTAAAAGATGGGGGAACTACGTTACTTCTTGAGAATTGAGGTAGCCAGATCTAAGCATGGCATCTTTGTCTCCCAAAGAAAGTATGTTCTTGATTTGTTAAAAGAAACTAGGAAGTTAGGAGTTAAACCTACCAACACACCCATTGAGTTGAACCATAAGATAAAAGCAGAAAGTGGAGAGCCACTTGAAGACAGAGTTATATATCAACGGTAACTCTAAAGAGATGCCTAGGGAGAGGCATACTCTTCAAGAATAATGGTCACATAAAAATAGAAGCATACACGAATGCTGATTGGGCTGGTTGTGTTGATGACAGGAAATCTACCTCTGGGTATTGTTGCTCGCTCCAATGCTGAAGTTGAATACAAGTCTATGGCTAATGGGGTGGCAGAAGTGTTATGGTTGAGATCTTTACTTGATGAACTAGGTGTTGAATATGAAAAGCCTCTAACATTGTATTACAATAATCAATCTATCATTAACATTACTCACAATCCAATACAGCATGACAAAACTAATCACATTGAAGTGGACCGGCACTTTATCATCTAAGAGAGAGAGTTGCATCTCAAGAAGCGTGTCTTCCCTATATTGCCTCAGACATGCAACTAGTTGATCTCTTCACTAAGGTGGGTACAAAGACCAAGTTGAAGATAGATTTATGCAAGTTGGGAATGACTAATATCTATTCCCAACTTGAGGGTGAGTGTAGAGATAGTTGTTAGTGTGTGGTCCCACTTTATATCTTTATGTAATTTAATGTTATTTTGTGGTAGTTATGCTAGTTAGGCCAGATATATTTGTTTATGTTTCTTATGTAGGCAGCAGGGGTATTAGTGTAACTCCACTAATGTTAAGTTACAAACATACTGATGAGGCACCTGCACCCTTTCTCTTCTCTTCTCTTCTCTTCTCTTCTCTACTTTTCTCTTCTTCTTCTTCTCCTCTTCTCCTCTTCTCTCTTCTCCTCTTCTGTTCTTGACCTTTTTTCTCGTCTTTTTCCTACTGAATTCATATCAGAAAACAAACAGTTTCTGGTTTCTTTTATTCAAGTTAGACCACAACTTGTATGCAAGGCACCGGGCTTTGAGGTGGAACGACAAAGTTAATTTTCGGATTGTATTGTATTCCTTTTACTCAGTGCTCTGCTGCATTCTACCCAATTGCATAGTTTCCTTGCCATTGGCCAGTGTACAGGGGTTTCTTTCTTTCCTCTATTAATACAAGTTTAAGTGTTACAGTGTTACTGATCAAGAAAGTAGCAGAATTATAACTCCACAAATTCAGCACTCTTACAACCATTAAAGATATGATGGAGGCCTTCACTAGTTTCTATGCTCTATGGTAACTCTTATCCATAAATCATCTCACTCTAGGTTTGGTGAGTGAAAACACAATTTGATCCCATCCCTTAACCTTGTAAATATCCCCTAGAACAGCTTTGGAAAATCCCAAGCCTAACCCTAATTTCCAAAATTTCACCTAATTCTCTTAGGGCCCAGATTTTTTGTCTTTTAACCTTATAATGCCTTTATACTAGGTCACTTCGATAAGTTTTGATCACTTTATCCTACCAAACCATCCAAAAACTTTACTTAGAAGCCTGTGTTCAGACTTCTCAAATTTTCTTTGTGCATTCAGAATTTTGCAGGCCATACTCAGAGTCCTACCAAAATTGGTTGCTCCTACAGTCCTACATAAAAAAGGGCAGCCCAGTGCATGAGCTCACACCAATGCGGGGTCTGGGGAGGGACAGATGTAAGTAGCCTTACCCCTACTACACATACAGAGAGGCTGTTTCCAAGATTTGAACCCTGGTCACCCAGGTCGCAATGGAGAAACCCAACCGTTGTGCCAAGGCCCACCCTCCAACCTACCTAGGCCACCCAGGTTGCAATGGAGCAACCAAACAGTCCTACATATTATGTATAAAACCTACATATAATCTTTCATTAAAATTTCAAACTCCAACCTATTACTTTCAGCTCGAAACTTCTCACAGTTTTGGAACAAATCTGCAGTGCCCTCGCAATTGAGCCCCCAAACCCTTCAACCTAAAACCATCCTACCCATTCACATCAATTTCATCCTTACCTACTTGAACCTATTTCCAACTCTAAAATCCCATCTTGAGTAAACTTGCCCTCCATTACATAGTTTTTTTTTTTTTATCAGCAAGAAATTTTTAATTAATAACATAGCAAAAGTTACAATCAGTTATAACAGTTATAGGTTGCAGAAAAGCATTAATCTAATCTGCACTCACATACAATCAGTTACAGTTCTGCCCAGTACAATGTAGATCTATTTGCCCCCTGTTTTGCTAGGGTATCCGCCATCCCATTTGCAATCCATTTGATCCAACCAAACTGAGAGTTGATCCTCCTTGTAAGTATGTCAATTTCTCTGAAGATAAATTTGAGCTTCCAAGGTACTGATGTGATGTTTTTAGCCCAAGAAATGACCAGTAGTGAGTCTCCTTCTATTTCTAAGTTTGTTATTCCTATCTGCTCAGCCAACTTTAGACCTTGAAGTAGGGCTAGAGATTCAGCCTGTATTGAGTCACCAATACCTATTGGTCCTGAGAAGAGTGCCACCACCACACCCAGATGATTTCTAATCACACCCTCCATTACATTGACTTGTTCTTTCTTAAGCCCATGGCTTGCTTTTGTTTGCACTTATTTTTGTTCAATATGATCTTTCATGACTGATTGGGTTGGGGATATTGGGTCATCTCCATTTTACTTGTCCCCTTCTTTTGATCAGATCAGAACATTTTTACTTCCCTCCTTTTTTTAATTTACTTCTAAGGATGGAAAAGAAACCCTCTCATGCAGCTACATCATTGTGGCTGTAAGTTGATTATGATGGGTAAATTTGAAAGATGAACTAGTGCCAGATTGTAAAACACAGCCACTTACATACAGCATACAAAAGCAAGGATAGATACCCTTTTGGTGAAAACACTCCCATTGGTGAATTGGCACATCTACCGAATCAAGTGAAGCCGCAGGCCTGCAATACATTTGTCCAGCGGAACTTAGATGGTGTCAGTCCTTCAGAAAAATGCAGTTAACTTAAGGAGTCAAGTAGTCATTGTCCACGATGAAGATTAGGAATTCTCAGAACTTTACCAAGTGATTTAAACCCTAAAGAGCCAGCACAACTAATTGCAACTAATTGCAACTAATAATCAACTAGGTCTAAAACATTACTCAAACTAGGTGAGCAATTTATTTAATCATTAATATGTGGTATTCTTAAGTCTTAGCATATGCCCTTTTTGCACGAGTTATTTAACATTTTTATATTCTAGTTAGATTTCTTAAATGTAGAGATTAAAAGGCACTGAGAGAACAAAAAGAAGCAATTTCACCTACCCTCTCACAGTTTTACCTTTATTTTATTTTTTTGTCTGGGAACTAGGTAGTCAATATTTGAACTGCAGAGGCCAGAATGACTAGGCGCTGCCTTTATTATCTTGAGAAAAAAATATTTACTACCAGAGTCATGGTTGCCCTTTTATAAGTTTGAACAGAAGCATACAGGATTTACACATGCCTGAAAGTTTCTTGAGTTTATTTCAGGATGTGAAAAAGTTAGTTAAAAGGAAAAGATAACTTGTGCAAGACGTGAAAAAGTTAGTAAAGGAAAAGGTAACTGTCACAGGATGTGAAAAAGTTCAGTATGGTTTCGACATCAAATTGCTTTATGCAGAACAAGCAATGGTGCATGACTGAACAACAACACATAAGAAGCCAGTAGTACCATCAATTAATCTCCAAAAACGTAATGCAGACTCAGCAATAATTACTTTTCAGTCCAACTGAGGCCCCCCAAAAAAAACCCTACCTTTTAAGTCCAACTTTGTGAAATGGAACATCCTAAAGCTCAGTAGCATCAAATCAATTTATGCAGAACAAGCGATGGTGCATGACTGAACAATAACACATAAGAAGCCAGTAGTACCATCAATTAATTTTTAAAAATTTAGACTTGCAAGTAATCATAGAGCATGCAGACTCAGCAATAACTACCTTTTAGTCCAACTGAGCAAAAAAGGGAAAAAAACTTTATGTCCAACTTTGTGAAACAGAATATCCTAAAGCTGAGTAACTTAACTAAAATATTGATTTTAGATCAAGTCAAATATATTTTATGGCTAAATAGTAACCAAATTCTACCTTGTGAAGTAGCAAAAAAAATGACCTGAATAAATGAAATAAAATACAACTGAACTATTTAATAATCAGATGGATCATACTTCAAGTAATCAACAAACTAAAATATCATCTTAAATAACATAGAAGTGGAAGCAGCTAAACTATAACAAAAAACTCTCAAATATTACCAAACCAAAAAGAAAAAGAAACAGTTAAATATGATGAGAGAAAATTTAGACTGCAATTGACATAGAAAACTAAAACTTACTCAGATTTGGTGCCACTGAATCTTCTGAAACTGACTGTGAACAAATACAGCAAGCCTTCTGAAGATCCATTATAGAAGCTAAATTAATGAAATGTCTAAAACCAGTACTAGTAAAAGGAATGCAACAAATAATAGGTGTAGGTATGGTATATTGATAAACATGCAATCTGTCAAATGACTCAAACCCATATCATTGTTCTTTTGGTTTCTCTTTTTCTTCTTTACTATTGAACTATGATGGATGGGGGTGTACCATCCATTTGGATACACACAAAATACAAAGTATTAACTGACCTCTCATAAAATATTGCGATCAGAAGTTGAAACAGAGTCCTAACCAGGTACTTCCCTTTTAACCTTGTACAGTATAGACATTGTTCTTAAAGGTGGTCACCTTGGTAACTTAATGGTCCTTGGGGTTCTAACACCCACATGCATGGATGGTTCAAGTCATAAGTCAGGAAGTTGAACAGATTTTTTGGAAAACCGCCTAGGGGTCAAAGTTTTCCATGTTACCTGTCAGTTTTGTTTTAAAAACACGTACATACACTTGACAGATTTTTTGCAACTTCACAAGGTAGAAGTACAGGCCAAAGGAAGAAATTGTGGAAATTATAAAGATTAGAGTAGCACATTGGGTAAAAATTCTTGAGCTCTTTCAAATGTTCTCAATTACTGATATAGTAAGGGCATGGAATGAAGTACCGCACTCCTCCAAATTGGAAGAAAGAAAGGTGATGGAATGGTAGCCCCCAGGTACCAACAAAATTAAGCTAAATTTTGATGAAAGCTCTATAGGAAACCTGGGTTTGGCAGGCATTGGTGGTGTCTTTAGAGATACTTCAAGCAAAGTATTAGCAATGTATTCAGGTCCTTTGGGGGTGGGTGACTCTCAAAAGGCTGAGTTGTTAGCGCTGCTACAAGGTCTAAAACTTGCTAAACAAGCTGATTTAAGAAATTTGGAGCTCAATGCCTCTTTTACTTGGATTAGGAGGACTGCCAATGGGTCTACAGGCAATGGCTTTTTTGGGCTGTTTTGTAATATGTTGTTGGGCATAGTTTGTGTTTTTCTGTAACCTATTTCAGTCATTTATTAATAAAATTCATCTTCTTTCTGATAAAAAAAACACAAATATACAATTTAATAAGTGTGTCCACATATGTGGAAAATATTTATGATGTATAACATATTAAGTATCTTTATCATTTTTTATTGTTAAAATGTTAACCATAAACTTCAATAGTTGTGAGGAATGAATGGATGTTATGTACAATAGGTTTGTTTTGTTAGGCTGGTATTTGACTCTTCCTATATCTTACATCATCTTCTGTCCTTCATGTTCCCCAATTGACCACAAATTTACCTGCTGTCAGTCATATTACTAAGAATTCTAATTGCAGAGTAAATTTAATTCCTGGCTCTTTGTATATTTCAGGATCTGGAAATAGGGAGGATGATTGGACATTGGCTTGAATCTGGTGGTCTCTACTTCCTGGGTTCTTCATTTCAGTCTTCTGTCCTGCAGTCTTCAAGACAGTCAAAATAAGTCTAGCATCTATTTGTGGCATTCTAGACTGGGTCTGGGTAGTCTTTTGACTCTTTTCAGTCCTGTTTCCTGCTTTCTCTATGTCCGGGTCTATGTCTGATCTTCAATGTGAAAGCTGTCAGTATTCAAAACAATGTAGAATCTTTTCTTATCCAAGTAATAAAAGAAGTTAGTTGCCTTTTTAACCATTTAACATTATGCCAGAAGCTTTTTTCCCGACATACATGTAAATGTATTACTCTTACAGAGTAGCACTACATAATAAAGAGAATGATCACAAATCAATATCCCAAGAAATACACAGGATGAAAACCCACCATTCTAAATACATGCTGCATTCCACCACTTCCAAAAGAGTGCCCACAGGGCAAAATCATTGCATCGTCCATGAGGGTTCCTCTAATAAAAACACAATAGAAAATAGCGGAACTGATCAGAAAACAAACGATGTAATTTCAATAGTTAATGCATGAATAATAACTCATCAGACATTCAGCCAAGGAAATGCACAAGTATCAGCCAGATAAAGTACTTGGGGGTCATTTGATAATCGCTGAACAGAATGATATAATGCTTTGTCTTTTAGTGAACAAGTCATTATGTGGGTTTTGACTGAAATTGAGTCTTTCTTTTTTGCTTGGGTGTCTTAATMAGGTTTGTTTGGATCCCTCCAAGCCAGATAAGAGGGTWTGGACTCCTAGACCCAATGGAACCTTCACTTGTGCTTCTTTTTTCAAGTCCATCTCTCAACTTTCTACTCACCAACCCTTTCCGTCAAAAG